ACAGCAGAGCTACCAATTACTTCACCTCTCGCAAAATATTTCATCGAGTGGAAGCCAATTATAAACTAAAGCTTTCAGACTTTTTTAGTGGTGTCCAAAAACATGTCTTTCAGATCTGATGAAATAATAAAATTATCCTCGCTTATTAGTTATTCAAGTATTAAGGATTAATTAAAAATGCATCGAAACTCGTTTTTTTATTAATCCTTCATAATGAAAAGTGCATTGACCCTAATATTTGAATACAGTTTGGCTGGAAAGAGGTGGTATTGATTTAAGCGGGGCTGACTGATAACGTATTTAGTGGTGTCTACAAACATGTCTTTCAGATCTGATGAATTAATAAAATTATCCTCTCTTATTAGTTATTCAAGTATTAAGGATTAATTAAAAACGCATTGAAATTGGTTTTTTCATAATCCTTCATAATGAAAAGTGCATTGACCCTAATATTTGAATACAGTTTGGCTGGAAAGAGGTGGTATTGATTTAAGCGGGGCTGACTGATAACGTATTTAGTGGTGTCTACAAACATGTCTTTCAGATCTGATGAATTAATAAAATTATCCTCTCTTATTAGTTATTCAAGTATTAAGGATTAATTAAAAACGCATTGAAATTGGTTTTTTCATAATCCTTCATAATGAAAAGTGCATTGACCCTAATATTTGAATACAGTTTGGCTGGAAAGAGGTGGTATTGATTTAAGCGGGGCTGACTGATAACGTATTTAGTGGTGTCTACAAACATGTCTTTCAGATCTGATGAATTAATAAAATTATCCTCTCTTATTAGTTATTCAAGTATTAAGGATTAATTAAAAACGCATTGAAANGGTATGTGGAATTTTTTTTTTTCTTATTTCCCCCATTTTTTTTAATGTTGAATATAATATAACAACCGAAGGAGATTTCTCGCGCTTTTCGAGTTATGCAAAAGAGCTGGAAACCTTGGCCCTCCTATTATCCCTAACTAAGGTGGTCTATGAGTTTTCAAACGAAGTTATTAAAAAAATGAAAAACAGTGGGAGGTTAAAATTGTTTAACGCTCGTCACCTACTTTGTTTTTATTATTAGCGGTTCCCTTTCATATTTCACTCCCCCAGTTATAAAAAGAGTTCCTCGAAAGACCTCGATGTCTTCTTTTCGAGCCCTCGAGGAAAGGTTAAATGTTGGATGCTTTTTTTAATTCTGCCATAACTTGAAAAAAAAATTAGTAAAATTTTTAATTAAAAAAATAATCGTTGATGTTGATTGATTTTGCGCCTTTTTGAAATAATGCGCCCATGGCAATCGCCATACTTGCCATACCCTAGATACGCCACTGATACCGACCTTGATTTCAGACTCTGCTCTGTAATGTGATTTCGAGCCATCAGTACGCATCATACCCTTCTGACAAGTTGTGAAAAGTTTATTTTTGCATATCCTGTATACATACACTACAGGATTTACATGTTGAATTTAATATGATTTTGACTACCATTACACACATTATTTAATATGATTTTGACTAACATTACACTCATCGTTTAATATGATTTTGACTATCCTGTATATTTTTGAATTTACATGTTTAATTTAATATGATTTTACCACGACTTACTCACATCATTGAATATGATTTTGACAGCCATTACACCCTGTACATTTATACTCCTGAATTCACATGTTTAATTTAATGTGACTTTGACCACTTTACGCAGAAATAAAATCATAAACCTACGTACAATAGCATGATAATCATATGATGATGATATATTTCTGCTTTGGAAAAATAAAAATTGAAAAAAACTATCTGCCTCTTATTCTATTTTAATTGTCATTTCACTGCTACTTTGGAAAATCATTCACACAAAAAGTAAAAATTAGTAGCTACAGTTGTCCCTACTTAATTGCACGTCAAATAATGGAATAACCCACTTGTACAGATGAAATTTAATGGAACCAAATTACTTCTCTATAAAATCAATGTTAAATTTCCTCGTTTAAATGAGTGAGTATTTATGGATATGGTGGTTCACTTTTTCGTATGAACAAAGAAAAATATATATATTTAAAAGAAAATAATTTTCTCCTGCTAGATAAGAATTTCGTTTTTAAGTCAGGTAAAGAGATGAGAATACAATAAGTGGACACTTTCTATAGCAGAGCTACCAATTACTTCGCCTCTTGCAAAATATTTCATCGAGTGGAAGCCAATTAAAAACTAAAGCTTTCAGACGTATTTAGTGGTGTCTACAAACACGTCTTTCAGATCTGAAGAAATTATAAAATTTTCCTCTGTTATTAGTTATTCAAGTATTAAGGATTAATTAAAAATGCATTGAAATTCGTTTTTTTTATTAATCCTTCATAATGAAAAGTGCATTGACCCTAATATTTCAATACAGTTGGCTGGAACCATAGAGATGGTATTAATTTAAGCTTTGCTGACTGATAACATATTTAGTGGTGTCTACAAACATGTCTTTCAGATTTGATGAAATAATAAAATTATCCTCTCTTATTAGTTATTCAAGTATTAAGGATTTATTAAAAATGCATTGAAATTCGTTTTTTATTAATTCTTCATAATGAAAAGTACATTGACCCTAATATTTGAAAACAGTTGGCTGAAACCATTGAGGTGGTATTAATTTAAGCTTGGCTGACTGATAACATATTCAGTGTTGTCTGCAAACATGTCTTTCAGATCTGATGAAATTATAAAATTATCCTCTCTTATTAATTATTCAAGCATTAGGGATTTATTAAAAATGCATTGAAATTCGTTTTTCATTAATCCTTCATAATGAAAAGTGCATTGACCCTAATATTTCTCTCAATCAAACAGAAAAGTTAAATATATGAGATAGACGAATTGTTAGACAGTTCGAAAAATTAATTTCATAATAAATGGCGTAACGGCCTTGGTCACACCTGATAAAAGAATTTTGACCCGATATTTGAAACGATCTTTCTTCTTTTGTTCCATCAAGGGTTATTTTTAATATATTTCTAACCTTGACCATCGATTTCGCAAGAAAAACTATTAATCTTTGCGATCCCTTTCTCCTGTCTTATCTTCAAACAATTATTCAATTTCGGGTCTGGTTCGCAATTGTTTTGAATAATCTTTAGAATCGAATATTTTCCATTTTAAAAATAAGATAAGCGTCAAGATTACATTTTCATCATTTTCGAAAATATATTGTTACGCTTTGAAAGCATTAAGATTATAAATTCGTAGTGTGGCCGATGTTTAGTAAAAAAGATACAGGAACATGGAGAAATAATACGTATAATACAAATGCAATTTTATTAATACATATGCAATTTTATTTAAGTAAAGGCCGGAGCCCCCAAAATGAGAACATTACATGCTGGTGGATGCATAGAGAACAGCACGATTGACCTTGGAAAGATAGTTTTTATAGCCGACCAAATTCTGAGTTTATGACTATCAATGTTCTACTCTGTTGCCTTGTAGTTTTGAATCTAACCCAAAAGGCAAGGGAACTCAAAGATCAAGCACTGGGAGAAACTAGCCTTCTTGGACAACGTTTCTGATGTGACTAACCCACATTTGCGTCACATGGAGAGGAAAATAATGAAAACATCCGATGCTTAGCTGGCCGGCAAGGGGATTCTAACCCATGATGTGTCTACTCTTGAGGATATTTTACGCCAACTGCGTGGTCGGTGCAATCTGGGAGCAGAATTTGTGCCAACCATCCACCGCTGGAATTTGAACCTGTGTCACCTCGTTGGGAGGCAAACGCTCTATCCCCTGAGCCACTACAGCTCTCAATTTGCGTTTTATGAGAATTCTGGCAAGCTGCAATCGCGCAAGCTGTTATCTGAACTACTATTGTTAATTTTTTGTAATCAGAGGAAAAGAAAATCGCTTCAACAAAAAAAAAGTTTTTACTTATATATTTTTAATGGAAAACAGTGAACACACTGTAATAAGACACAAAACAGAATGTTGAAATGCGAAACACCTTGATGCATCACAGTGACGTCACTTGTTGAAATCTGAAACTCGGAACTGTAAGAGCTACCTATATACAATCTTCAACTGTGTATCAGCTCGATTAAGGGTCTTTGAAAATTTGCCTTAACACATATGATTGGAGCGGCAAGAGTTTCTTCGAAGGATTCACCTAGCCCTTCTATTCTCCGTTCAGTATGAAGATGGTTCTTCTATTTAAAAAAAAGAATAAATTAGAATCTATAGATTAAATCTCTTATCTCAGTACTTCATAAGAATATTAACTGACAGCAGGATGAAGTACTGAACAAGGACTCGAAGAAAAAAAAATTTTTAAAAATAACAATCAGTGGTTACTTTTTATAACAAATTTTTTATGAATAAATATTAAATTGAGAACTAATGTTTAATAATAAGAGAAGATATCCAAGGCTGTTTAGGTAAGAAAGTAGCTCAATCAATCGTTAAAGTACCAGCACCTTTCAAATTTTTCAATACTAAATACTAAAAATTCAAACTTTAAAAAAAATCAGCATGTAAAAGAGTTAAAGACATTTTTATAATTGCATTTAGTTTAAAATTCTGTCTAAATTATAACCACTTTAAATTATGGGTTTTCAAAATTCATGGAATAATCTAATCAAAATTCATAGAATAATCTAATCAAAATTCATAGAATGCGTTAAATCAATGGGTTACCTACATACGCCCACCACTACACTCCTGGTTAAGGGGTTAAAAATAGATGAGGTAGAAGAACTATATTATCAAGGTATTAAATCCAGATCAATCTTCATTAGCTGTTTACAATCAAGAAGAGAAAATTTCGTTGCTTCTTACTTTTTTTGTTTGAAGGTGAAGTATCCGCCATCTTTCACAACTCTATACTGCTTCAAAATATTTTAACATAAAAATTTTTTCAAACCAACAAAATATTCCGAACAGCACAACATTCACTGATTGTAGATATAAAAATAAATTGTGAGTTCTTTAATTCGTTATTAGGCTATTTTTTTTTTTTATAGATATAGAAAATTTTTGAAGAATGCATGTAAAGATTGCGGTCTTGCTTATGATGGTTTGGATTGCGAATTGCGATGCACGCATATTCAGTTTCGTTAGAGCAAGTAAGTTGTGAAAAGTATCAGGTAATTTATTATCTAGCATAAACAATTTATTTCAATTTTATTTTAAAACTGTCGTTGAACAGCCGACCCAGTTTTGGGTTTACGACTACTAATGTTCAACACCGTAGCCTAGTAGTTTTGAACTCTATCTCGAAGAAAAGGGAGCTATTGGATCAAGAATTGGGAAAAATTTACCTTTTTGGAGGAATTTTTGATTAAGCTATCCCAAGTTTGCCTTACATGGAGAGGAAAACCACGAAAACTTCTTACAGTTAACCTAACTGCTAGAAGACTCTAACCCATGATCCGTCTACAATTAAGGATATTTTACGGCAGCTCTGTGGTCAGTGCGAGCCTGGGTCGGAATTCGTTTCAATCAGCTATTGCTGTGATTCGAACCCGGTTCACCTCATTGGAAGGTGAATACTCTATCCCCTGAACCAACACGGCTCTAGCATAAGCATTTGTAGTTGTCTAGATTTTCGGAGAAAATTCCACTGTAAAAAGTTAATTAATGAATAATCTTTGTGTTTTTTTTACTAAATTAGTAGCTCCTTGCTCGCTCCGCTCACCAGCTCCCCATTGTTTTCCATACATTATTATTTTTTTAAGTCTGTATTTTTTAGAAAACTAGTGGGCTGCGCCCCCTGCTCGCTAACTCTCGCCAACCCCCGACGCAATCTTATATGGTTTGCTTCGCAAACCAAGTTCGCTTCGCTCGCTACTAACTTTGCAAATGCACAAAATTCTAAGAATTCAAAACAATCATTCAAATCCTTATAAAAAAAAATTTTAAAAATAAAAATTACATCTTTTTAGTAAATACTAAGTCATTAAAATAAATTTGAATTCAAATAAACGACATGTAATTCGTTAAACCTATTAGAAATGTGCTATAGTATAATTCGTGATATAAATCAAAAAAGAATATTTTTT